CCCTCCCCGCTCCCCCCTCCCCGCCCGCTTCCCCAGGTTGGATCAACGGAATGGAGAGCGGCGCCCAAGCTGGTCCCTCGGCCGAGAAAAAAAACCACCATTGGAAAAGTTACAAGTTGATTATTGACCCAGCTCTGAAGAAAGGACAGCACAAACTCTATCGCTACGATGGGCAGCATTTCAGCATTCCTGTAAGTGGGTCCGGGGGGGGCAGAGACCCCCCGTCGCGCGCCTGCCGCCCCCCCCGCCGCCCCCGTCCGAGGTCTCGTTAAAACCTCGACGATGCTCTTTCTAGGCAGCGGAGGGAGGTCCCTTAATGACCTGGGGGAGAAACCCTCGAGGCGAAACGATCCGGAAAGGCACAGAAGTTACACCCCCTGACCTAACGTAGCCTGTCAGAAAAAGCTGCAGCTTTATCTCTGGGGGATCCGGGCCCCTTCGGCTCTGGGGGCATCTCATGGCCCCCCCGCCCCCGCCCCCCCCCAGATAAGCATGCCTTGTGGCTTCCTTGCTTTGCAGTTCCGCAGGGTAAACTTTTTGGGTCTTGCTCCACCGCCAGGATTTGTACCTGGTGGCTCCCGTGGACGCGGCTGACATCGGCGGCCTCCTTTTCTTTGCAGAATCCAAGTCTTGCCCCCGTGGAGTGTGTGGAGGATCCCAGGATAGGACGAATATGGACCAAAACGAAAGAACTGGAGCTCTCCGTCCCTAAATTTAAGGTACAGGCTGAGTGGACCGTGCTGCCGTTTGCTTAAATCATAACCGCTCGGTGTTTATTGTTAGTCGGGCAATGAGTGGAGCGATGCGATGCGATGCCGACAACAAAGTGAAGCTGAGCCTGCTGTTTGCCAGAAGTTGGCTTCATTAGCGAGGGCTTCTTTGTGTATTGTCAGTCATTTTGTAAACAAGTTGGGGCCAGGTAGCAATGTGGGGTTTTTCAGTGAACTGCTGAGGGAGGAGGAAGGGAATGCCTCTCGGATTCAAGAGGTGCTTCTTAAACTCCTCTTCCCAGCCACGGGGTGTGTTCACTGACTGCCATCGCTATGGTTCCCCCCCTTCCCGCCCTGCTGTGTTTTGTGCAACTGTAAATCAATCTCCAGATTGACGAGTTTTATGTGGGACCGGTGCCTCCCAAGCAAGTCACCTTCGCCAAGTTGAACGACAACATCCGTGAAAATTTCCTGACCGACATGTGTAAAAAATACGGCGAAGTGGAAGAAGTGGAGATTTTGTACAACCCAAAGAACAGGAAGCACCTGGGAATTGCCAAAGTCGTCTTTGCCACTGTGAAGGGAGCCCGGGAAGCTGTTCAGCACCTGCACAACACATCTGTCATGGGCAACGTCATTCACGTGGAGCTGGATACTAAAGGTGGGAAGCTGGCTGCAATCTCCCTGCTCCTGTTCTTTCCTCACCTTTTTCTCCAATCCTGCAGGGAGGTGCGTTTGCGGACTGGGCTTGGGCGGGCAGGGCCGTCCTTAATTGCAGGGGGACTGTTAAATGGCAGTCCTTTCCTGGGCTCTTAGTGGTCACGTGGAGTTGAATGTGTTGTCTGTTGCTAAGAGACAGCCCGGTGACTTACCCAATGCTGCCATCCTCTTGCTTTCACCCATCCAGTCCCTCGCTCACGCCGACCCACGGCTTGCCAAACCGGGCCCCCTGCGCTTCGGGGCCAAAAGTGTCCTTCGCCCTTAGCTGTAGCTCTACCAACAGCCGTAGCAGCAAGATGGGGGGGGGTCGAAGAATTCCCTTTAGAAAATGTCTGAGAAAATCATCCGAAAGGTTTATCCCCTCTAACAGAGTCCTTCCTCTTATCTAGTCACTTTACTGTGGAAATCAATATATTCTTAAAGGGGACTGCAAAAATCTCTCCTCCTCTGCCTCTTAAAGAGACAGTGCGCCCTTAATTCTTTCGAGTAGGAAGTCTGTAACGCTGACCCTGCCAGACAGAAACAAAGCGATCTAGGTAGGAATGGAATGATTTACACGATTCTTAAACGTATAAGAAATATTTTAGGAGTTGATTTTAACTTTTTCTTTCTTACTGTTTTTTTTCCCCCTCTTCTTTTGGCCTGGAGCAAGGAAATGTATGTTAGTCATTCAGACCAATTTGTTACCTTAATATATAACATGTAACTTGTTCCTTGCCTTTGCTAGGAGATCAGTTTGAATGTAAAAAGAAGGGAAAATGTTAGATTTTGGAGCGAAATGTTTGAAAAGCATATGCAATGGGCAAGTTATTTTTGTATAATGAAATAACTGACTTTTTGCCTCTTGCTTTAAAAGCATTTGTGCTGGAGCTTGAAATTGTGCTGGAGCTTTCATGCAGTTAAATGCTGGAACTCAGCTTTAGTTCTAGTTCACTGAATTCCAGCTGAAATTAAACATTTTTTTCCATGTTGTGACATAAGCATTCAGTCATGCAGATCAGAAAAAATGGATTGATCGATGAAGGGAAAATATAGGTCAGGTATGGCTTTGCTATTGAGTGTGCTTTCAACATTATTTTGAGGCACCGTTGCATTAGTTCTAACTAAGTGTCATATAATCAATAAACGATATCACCATCTGTGATTTCAGCTCTGCTCTGAGTAGTTTGTAATACATCAATTAAACTTTAATATTTTCAGTCCAGCCTGACCTTAAATGTATTAGTTTGGTGTAATTCCAGTGCGTTAAACAGAACTTCCTTGTGAGCAACTGTAGCCTGAAGTCTTTCTGACTTCAGAATGAAAACAACAGTGTGGAATGTTCACAATTCTTCATTAATTGCTTGAAAGTTCAGGTTGATATTGTATGAAAACTCACTTTAATATTTTGCATGTATGTTGACCGTTACTGATAATAAAAATCAGTTTTTAGATTTCTAATGCTAGTCTTTGAAATAGTTAATTGTTTCCTTTTTAGATTCTGACATGTCCAGTATTTCTTAGTTAATTATATGACGTTCAATACTGCAGAGAGTGCATAATGTTTAAATGTTTGCTGGCCTCTGAAGACTATAACCCCAGAGATCTTAAAGTGTTGTAGCTTTAAGTGTGAGTCATTTAAGGTGAAACTTAGACGTTGGTTTATAGTAAGATTTTTTGCTGTTGCTATTATTGAGATAATAAGGCCTATCTAGCGATACGTTGTATTTTGATCTTTGTAACTGGGATAGTAACCTGCCCAGTGAAATGATCTGGTGTCTTAATTGAGTGTGATAATGTGGTGTAGAGGCCAAGAGTTGCCGGTGGACCAAGAAATCTTCATTCCAGTCAAGAGTTCAGTAGGTTGTCTGTGGCGTGGCTTTTCAGTCCCCCAGCCTGTGTTATGGGGGCCTCTCCTGTAGGACTCTTGTAATATACACGTGAAGCATATGCAACTTTATACAACTGCATTGTGATCGCAAGAACAGAACTCGGGAAGAGAGCAAGGTCTATCTAGCTGAGCGCCTGGTTTCCTCCAGTGGCCAACCAGTTGCCCCTTAGGAGAAGCTCAGAAGCGGGACACAGAAGCAGACATGAACCTTCTCTCACTGTTGTTCCCAACAACTGGCATTCAGGACATGCAGCGTCCAAACTTCGGGGTAGATCACAGCCATTAAGATAACTTCCTTCTCTGTGAATGGAGGAAACATTTTGCCGTTATGTGGTGACTGTCGGTAATTAATTTTATTACTTAGGCATCTGGGATGGAAATAATCCCCCCTCCCTTTGTTTCTCTTGATTGTCACGCATACAGGGTCACTAATGAATAACTCCAAAGTCCAGGAGAGAGATCTTTGCTTTCTCCTCTTAAGGCATCATTTGACAGGATTAACAAGTTGTTGGCTTAACCATGGTTAAAGAAATAACCATAGTGTTCTGGATTCACGTAGCATATTAAGCCATCAGCCACAGTTTACAAATCACTGCTGCTGGGTTTGTGCAGTTGTGGCTTAGTGCAGTATACCACTCCTGCCTTTATAAATCTCTTCTCGTACCCCTCTTTCCTCTCCTTTTTTCTAAACTCTTCAGAGGAAAATCCCTCCAACCCCTGAAGCGACTTTGTTGCATTTCACTGCATCAACCGTAGCTCCACGACATCTTTTGGAAATGAAACGGAGCTCATAGAAATGCGCCCTGGTCCAAGGATAATTGATATACCGAGTTGCGTAAGGCATGACAATATGAGCTCTTTATTTCTCACTCCTTTGCTAGTTACTCTGCTGTCAGCCCACTTTTGCACAGCGCAACTCCACTCCCTGAATTGCATTAGTGCAATTGGATTCTGCTGCCATACTGGTATAACAGCATCACTCTGAGCATGAAGCTCACCCCCTTTTCCTCTTCCTCCTCGTGCCGTCGGCCCGGGCACTGGGGTTGAAGTTCTAGTAGAAGCAAACTCACGCAGGTACAGGATGGGGCCTGTGGCCCAAGTGAAGATGCAGAGGTTTGCCATCTTAGGCAGCACTGTGGAAAAGAGGAAACGTTTGGATTTTTTAGGGGAAAGAAATCTGTTTTCCTAGAAACAAAAAATGTGCCTATCGTGGGGGAAAAAAAAATCTCAAAATCCAGGATTGAATGTCAGCATCTGCCGCGGGATTCTGACATCTCTGTGGCTGCTTTACAAAATGTGCTTTCCAATAATGTGATTTGCTTAGGTTTGGCTTAACGCGTTGTGCGAACCCAGTGGTTGCAGCTTCCCTTACTGACCACGGCTTAGTCTAACAGCAGTGGGGTAGCACATTTGGAGCGGAAGACAGTGTTTGTAAGTCATTCCACATCTAGCATCATTAAACCACGTCTGCCATTTTGGCTCTCCTGAAACAAGGTGGGAGAAGGCCGATTCCAGAGCACTGAACTCTGTGATGAAGAAGAGGGGATAACTTCGTGCTAACCTTTTTTTACGCCTCTGGAGTTTTCACTCCTCACAAGGAGAGCAGCCTGAAATTAGATCTATCTCCCTATCTAGCCCTTCTCAAACTGTATTTGAACTATATCCCCATTATCCCCCGGATGTGCTGCCAATAGCTGGGAATTCTAGAGTGATAATCTGAAAAGATCCACGTTGGAGGGCCTAAATAAGATAACCTCTTAGAAGACTTGGGAGCCAATGTGGGGTCTTGGTTAGACCATGTTCGTGCTGGGTGACCTTGAGTCTCGCCATTTCTTTTAGCCCAGCATATCTTGGGTTCTTCTGGGGATAAAATGAGCAGAGATGAACCTTAAAGTTCTTTGGAGGGAGGGTGGGATAAAAAGTGGAACAAATCAAGCAGCTCCTTTTTCTTTTCGACAAAGAAATATTTTGCTGAATAAATGAACATTAAATAGCAAGTGGTGTGTTTGCAGACTTTCTAAAGCAGCGTTTCTCAACCGTGGCAACTTTAAGATGTGAGGGCTTCAACTCCCAGAATTCCTCAGCCAGCATGGGTGGACTTCAACTCCCAGAATGCAACCATGCTGGTGGGGGGATTCTGGGAGGTGAAGTCCATGCTTCTTAAAGATGGCATGGTTGAGAAGCTCTGCTCTAAAGTGAGGTTCTAGGTCTTCATTCTATACTACCTATTGCCCATTGATCTTCTTTAATAGTGATTTTGTTCTCTCCCCAGGTGAAAAGCGTATGCATTTTTATGAGCTCCTTGTGAACGGGCTCTACACTCCGCAGACCTTGCCAGTGGAGAATGAACAAGATGCATCACCCACCGTCAATGAAACTCTGCAGGTATGTCTGGAACGTGGTAGAGTCGAAGTGATGCTGTGTGCTTGACACATGGGCTAAGAAGACCTTCATTCACAGCAAACTCTGATTTGGATGCACTGGTCAGCCTGTCTCAAGAAGATGTATGTCAAGCTAGTTCTGGTCTTCCCTTTGGCAGCAAAACGTTAGAATGGGTACGAATCATGGTGGAGCTCCAGGTTGGATTCTGTCATTAGATATGGGAATAAAAAAAGGTTTTGTAGTGCAGATGATCAAGCAGGCTGGATCAACAATCATGGAATGAAAAGCCAAAGTATTCAAAACGAAACAGCAGTTTTGTTGATCAAAATGATCAAAACATCTTAAAATTGTCTGGGTTGTGTCCTATTCATGTCCTATTCATACATATCTGGGAAAATGGTTCCTTTTACTTCAGCGAGGCTTAGCAATAAACATGTATTGGATTACCCTGTCGGTCATCTGCACAGGTAGGAGTGGTGGCAGAGGCTGGGGGAAGCCTGGAACAAATTCCCTCTCACTCATCAAACAGATCTTGGGCTAATTACTTGCCGTTTTTATATGGGGTCAGTTGACCTAGATAAAATTGGACTCTGACTGTTTATCTTAGAAATCTGCTTTTGAGTTATTGAAGCAGGAACATTTGGTAGAAACAAAACAATTGAAGAAACCCCAAACCTTGATTTCACCCAGTGCCCAGGTCGAAAAGAAGCTTCATCTTAATTAGGAAGATCTCAGTTCCACCTTTTTAACCCATCCCACTTGAAATAGGTTTGTGGGAGCTGATTAAGAAGTCACCTCTGTCTCCTAGTCTGATTTTGAAATCGGGGGGCAGGATAGAGGTAACTGTATTTAAGTAATGTTAATAATTGAAGTTTGACATTCTCTGTTTTGGACAAGGCCTGCAAAGAAAAGCCAGCTGTTCAACAAGTTGTTAACAAAACAAAAAGCAGACTGGGTTTCCCGTGGGTGTCACTTGCTTTTTCTTAGACTGAGTTCCTTATTCCGTTGGCTAAGCCTTTCTAAGTCACTTGAATTAAACCGGTGCTACTAATCAGTATGAACAGCTTCCATCCGTTGTAAGTGTTCAGCTTTTTCTAGTAAGAAATGAATGAATATTTTAAAATATCCACGTTCAAGTTACATTTCCTGGAAAGTCAACTCCCTGCTGGAGGGAGGCCCCTGTTGCCTAGAATTTTAAACGCCTCTTTTCAGCTTCTTTTTCCCTTCCTTCAATCTTTAGTCTCCAAACGCTTCCACTGCATGATTTTACTTTATCAGGCCAGGGTATGCAAAAGGCAGCCGCTGGTTTTGGACATAGTCCTTTTCTTAATCACTTTCATTTCCCACCTGCCTTTTGGAAGTTTGAATAAAAAAAAAAAGCGAGGGTTGCACCATAATCTTGATTCTGCAAGAGCTGAACTCTCCGTTGCGCAATTCCGACTTGGTTTCCCTGACAGCTGTTTAAGCATCACCTCTCGTTGGAATACAGAATAACTGGACTTTGGCCGTTTCCACGGATTTTTTAAAAATACAACAGTGTTTCTTCTGCAATTTGGTGACCTCATTCAGAATTGTAGAAGAAACACTGCTGTGTTTTTAAAAAATCTGCTACCTTAAGTCAGTTGTCCCATTCTCTTCCCTTTCCCTTAGCCTCCTGTCTGCAAAGCTTAATTGATCCCTTGCTCTTTTCATCAAACTGTAGTTTGGCATTACATTCCAACCGGCAAACTGTCGTCTGAATTACCGTTCTGCATCAGGACTATATACAATGATTTATTCTTAACTTGGAGGTGATCACTCAGGTGCAATTTCCTGATAAGAGAGAGCGAGCAATGATGGCTCCATTAAAACAGGGCTAAATATTTTAATTTCCTAACTTTCAAGGCTAGTGCTCTGTTACTTTAGTCTGGGGATAATCAGCCATCCAGACATTTTGGACTTCATCAGTCTTAGCCAGCAATAGCAAAGGATTATGAGCAATGCCATTCAAAATGTCTCGGTTGCCTTCCCTGGCTTTTATTTCATTTTCTTAGATATTAGGGTTCATTTCATGTTCTTCATGCTCAGCTTGAAATCCAGTCTGATCAAGCATCTCCCGCTGGTTTTCTTTACAAAGCGAAGGCATTTCAGAGAGATCTTTCTTGCCACCTTTTACAAAAAGACCCTTGCGCTGAATGGCACAATTAAGGTGCACTTGATGGTGGGAAATAACATCAAGACCTTTTTCCTGGACCCCACAGGTACTTGGGGTCCTGTTTCTTTACAGGGCTCAGTTTTATTGGCTGTGGCCTTGCTGTTATCAATATATTTATTTCAATATATACGGCTGCCCGTCTCAACATTTTAATTTCAAGGTTGATTTCTGATGCCACTGCATGAAAGATGGAGATAGATTATATATATAAATTATATGCACACGCGCACACCCACACATTCCATTACACATATTTTGTGCAAAGCTCATCATCATTATCGTTTTGAAAGTTTCCATCTTATTTTTCTCTGAACTTCAGACTTGAACTCCTTCTGGAAAGGCTGCTGAAGAAGATGTCAAAGTAAATTTTAATTGACAGCGATCATTGCCTGGGCTTTAACAATCCATATCTGGAAACATTCCACTTGCCCTATTGTGTTTTCTGGGCATTTTACTATTCAAGCTCAAGCTTTTTTTAAAAAAATGGAAAGTGTATTTAATTCTCTTTCCTTGCACAGGATTAAAAAAAAAAAAGATAAATAGCTTAGATGAAAGAGTGGCTTCAGCATCAGGAACTTTCTGTGCTGGACCTGCTTTACTTCTTAAATCTATTGCAGAATCCAAGAAAGAGTTTCTACGTGTGTCCGATGACACCTTCAGTTACACTTGGCTGTTGCCCACACGACCAGGGTTAGCCACTAAGTAGATCCACAGCTGAAGCCCTACACAAGGGGGTGGGGTTATACAATGAGGATTCATATTTTGTACTTGCTTGAAGGGTTGGCTTCTCCATCCACTTAGCTCATTACTTCAGTTTGATCTCTGAATTTTTTTTTTCCATCGTGATTTTTCATTGAAACCTATTTGTTCTCTTTGGCTTGCTAGATGTGATTGTATGTGCCGTGAATGCAAAGAAGATGGGTTAGTAGAAAGCCTTAAAGTGGGCCTTGAGGTGGTTGGCAAGGTTAAAAACTGTAATAAAATTAGCGGACAGTTTAAAGGAGCCAGCTGCATAGTCTGAAGGTTGACATCTAGCTCTTGTAAGCAAAGTGACTGCTTGCCGTGTTGATGTATTTCTTCTTTCCCCATAATCCAATAATTTTTTAGACTCCACATCCATTGCATTTATCTATGAACTGACAATTCTTCTAGGGCTCAAGTGTTATTTACAAGTTGCCTTTTCCTTTTTTGCAGTTGGCCGATACTCTGAAACGCCTAAAGGACAGTAGTCTTTCTTCTGTAGGATCGTCCACTACCCCAAACAGCAGCACCCCATTTTCCCATGATACAGCCTTTTCCAGTTGTCGACAAGATACCCCAAACTCCTACAGCCAGTTTACCCCTCAGTCCCAAGGAACGCCTCTTACCCCCCGTCTAGGGACGCCATTTTCCCAAGATTCTGCATACTCTAGTCGACAGACAACGCCAGCGTACCATTTTGGACAAGACTCTGGGTATAAACCCAGGAGGCATGAAACAAAATTTACAGATGCGTATAATCGGCGTTTGGGTCATCACTATGTACATAACTCAGCAGGTACTTTTCGAGGCTCAGAGCATCAATTTGGTGCGTTCAAGTCCCATCAGCAAGAAACTGTGCAATATTCACACACTTCTCCTGTAAGTCACTCAGGTGCTTCAACGTACAAATCCGCCTTCTCCCCCTACCAAGCCCCCACAACATATCCCCAGCCTGAAGAACCCCAGTTTTCTCAGACTTCCAGGGAAGTTGAATACCGGCGACCACCCCCACCGCCTCCCACAGAGGTGGCAGTTGAAAGTAGCACAGCTCCTCCTGTTGAATTTGTTCCTGTCAAGGAAAAATCTGAGGAACCCCCTCCTCTTCCAGAGCCCAACAGTCTTAACGAGCCAACGGTGACATCCTTTACCCAGACTCCAGAACGGAGTGAGACCCCTGGCACCCCAACTGTAGAATCTGAAATCCAGCATAACAGCTTGGACTCACGGATTGAAATGCTCTTAAAAGAGCAGAGAACAAAGCTGTATTTTCTCAATGAGCATGACTCGGACAATGAGATTCGAATGGAAGGTAGTCCTATTTCATCGTCCTCTTCCCAACTTTCTCCGATCCCAAACTCTCAGCCCAGCTATAGAGCACAAACCCCTTCCTCGCGCCCTTCCAGCACAGGCTTGGAAGATATCAGTCCAACCCCGTTGCCTGATTCTGACGATGACGAACCCATCATGGCTTCTGCCTGCCAGAACTCAAGAGGAGCAGCAGACGCTAGTGTCACTCCTGCTGACCACCTGAATAGGACATCCAAATCTGAGCCCTCTGAGGCTAAAGAAATGCAGCCTGCTAACAGCAGCCCTGTTCCAGAAAAAATGGAAGAGGTAAGATATTTGGGGAAACTCCGGGTCTGTGGGAGTTGCAGACGTTCTACTTTGTCCGAGAGTTCCGTTGGCATCTGCACCAGGGGATGTAGTAGTAAGCCGGGGGTGCGGTCGGTTTATAAAACACAAGATGCTCGATTTGTAAAATTGGATCCTTCATCGTGCTTGGATGTCATGCCATTCTGGAAATGGTTAGGCGACACCAGAGATTAAAAAAAAAGAATTATTCTGCTGATGCTCGAAGACACTGATTTGCTCATATTGGAAATTTTTTTAAAAAAAAAATTCCAGCCAATGCTATATAAAAAACTATGCGATGGAAATTCCCCTCCACGTTATTCGGTTTGAATTTAGTAGAATGATGCTTCTGTTTTCTGTAGTGCGATATAACATCCAGGGGGTATTTTTTGTGACGTGGGATGCAAATTTATTTCTAGGAGCAATTCATCTATTGGACGGTGAATGTTTCTGGTTTTCTCAAATGGCTTTGTGTCGTCGTTTTTTAAAATTAAGTAGCTTACATATTTTTATGAGCGTTTGTTTTAAATGTATTGCCATACGCTGCCGTGAGGGTTGTTTCCAATAAAAATGTGAGAGATGATAATAGCTAAACACCTGGCTGTCGCTGAAAGAAGAGGGGTGGCTTTGTGGAACCCATTAATAAGTGACCTGGAATATTTGCAATTCACATTCAGTCTGTATATATTTACACTTCAGCCCTATTGAACTTGATGGAATGTATTCCCAGTGGATATGTGCAGGATCCAATTTCATGTTCCTTAAATACACAGAAGGTTCATGAAATCCAGCCTCCTCCCATTCTTCTTCTTCTTCTTCTTCAGCCACCTTTACTGGCATGTTGTTTTGCTTGTGTGTGTTTTCCCCTGGAATCCCTAGGTCATCTCACCTCCACTGGTCTATGTCTTTCCTGCTCAGAAGTATATATAAATAATTCTTGTCCTGGCTGCTGAGTTAAACTCAATGGTCTTCTCTTCTCTTCTCTTCTCTTCTCTTCTCTTCTCTTCTCTTCTCTTCTCTTCTCTTCTCTTCTCTTCTCTTCTCTTCTCTTCTCTTGGCGGGTTTGAAGCTCAAACACTGATGTTGCTCTCTCTCTGGGAATGTGAGCTGTGGCTTTTCCAGCTTGTGAATGCGTTGGGAAGAGAGGAGTGAAAGGCTAGAAAGAGCAGTTTCAGGTTTCAGCCATTGTGAGGCTCAAGTCTGTGGCCAAGAGTTTCAAGAGTTCCTGAGCAGGCAACAGCAAGAATAAGCAGAGATGTGCCGATTTCTCCAAAACTTATTCAATTTTATATACTATTCAGCTTCACCATCTTTTTTTTAAGTGATTTTTTAAAAAGCTGTTGAAAAAAGTACATGCTTATCATGTGCAACTTTTTACATGCAGACTTTTGTGGGCGGCCTTTCATAGGGCTAAATATGTAGGATTTCCATGGGTCCCTGGCAGTGGTCTCCTTCAGATGGCCCACCTACTCTGTTCTCGGCTACCCTGAAAATCCCACAAGGGCAGCTGCTGCCAGTGGGACTTATGCCAAGGCAGGTACGCATAAAATTGCAGCCCACAGAGCCTTTGAATCTTTCTTACAGTGATTCTCGTTCAGGTCAAAGCTGCTTTTCATTGTCACAGCTAGTCTGTAAAGTTGGTCATATTCCCATTCAACAGATAGAGAAGGCGCTTGAGAGAGAACTGCTGTTGCTCAAGGTCACCTAGTGAGATGGCTGAAGAGGTGTGAGTTCAGTCTAGGAATCCTAAGCAAGAGACCAAGCCTGGATCGCACCAGCCATGATTCCCAAGCGAAGTGAAGAATTATGTCTTTCCATAAACAAGCTAGTGGGTCTTCTTATCAGTGGAACACTTAAACTACCCAGCAACCAACACCAGAGTCAATGGCTTGCCCTAAATCAGCCAAAATTGGAAACCAAGAACAAACCACAGCATGTACCTCTGACTTGTTAGGTGAGGAATCAGCCAGAGTTCTTAATTTCTATGTCACAATAGAGGAAACATGAAAGGAGTCTCTGTGATTTGCTGACCCATTTCTTCTAGAAGGAACATCTGACCAGGGTGCATTAGCATATTGTTTTTTATGGCAAGCCAGAATTCTTAACAGTGACCCATCTTTGGACATAACTCTGAAACGTTCAGGTGAATGACTTTAGAGATGTTGAGGCCTACTTCTACAGCGGCAATGGGTGCAACATCCGAAGACCTGACAGATTGTCCTGGAGAAAATCTATCCATGTGGTCACTAAGAGTTGAACCTGACTTGATGGCACATAGTCCTTCATCAGTCAATAAAATAAATACGTTCACATTGGAATGAGAGTGTTGGGGAGGCACATCAGAATAGGAAGGTGGGAACTTCAGGCATGGGAAAGGAGACTATCTCTTGCTTTCTGGAGGGCTGGCGTGGAGCTCAGCTGGGACCTGTAATCATTATAATGGACTGGTCTGCCATATTGACTATCTCAGAGTATTTGGCTAATCAATATATGAAGAGAAATCTGAATCCCAACCCTTTGGGGCTAAGTCTGCCGTCATTACAACAGGACAGCCTTCACTGCTGTTCTGCTGCTGAAACTTGGGACCATTTAGCACTGTCTTCTCCTGGTTTTATTCTGTTCTGAATTTCACACCATCCGTATAAATCCATTTAAGATAGATGAAATGTTTGCATATGAAATATTGGAACTTTTCTTCAGGGAGTCATCTAAATCCCAGCCTTGTTTCCTTTGAGGTTCAGCATTGCTTCTTTAGATAGTTGTTTTACTGGCACCCAGATGACATCTTGACACAAATTTTAGCCAATATGTTTGTTGGTTGTGTGAAGGCTGATGTTAAATCAGATAAAAGCATTCTATCTATTGGTTCATCCTGTAGTTCAGTGTTGTCCAAACCTTGCCCCCTTTTAAAAAGTTTGCTTTTAACCCCCACAATTCCTCCCCCCAGCTCCCTTCTCGCTGTGGACTTGGGTTTGCAGAAACACC